CATCAGTTTCCCTCGGCGATAGCTGTTTTTTGTGCTCCGCTTGTACTTATCATCTAAATTTTAGCTGCACAAATGCTTCTCTGCAAGACAGATTTGGTATAAGGGGTGCGAATGACTCGAGAACTCAGAAGCCCCCCGCCCTTTCCCCTGCCCTCTCCCACCTCCCTCCCCTCGTCATTCTCGTAAAAGGATCGCTGCGTAATTTTCCTCCCAGTACTGCGACATCCTTTTAAACAAGTTGTGAGCAGTTCAAGCTTCGCTTTTTGTGGCCATTGCTGTGTAGTAATGCGGTCACTTCTGGAATATTATTTTTCAAATAGCTCTCCAGTGCCCCGTAAGTTTGCCAAGCGCTGGGATCTCGTTGCTGCCGTACGTGATCCGGAAGTGTTTCGAATTACAACGGTCTCCCACAAAAATTAGGTGTCTTTCTTTGGGGCTGTTTTGCAGAATTTGTGGTTAAATTACGGGTAAATCATTGCCAACATATGCAGCCAAACAATTCACTTTTTTCTAAAAACGTGCGCTTACTTACAAAAAGGCAATTATTTCAAACAAAATTTTTTCTTTCAGCCAGAAAACGAAATGGACAAATTGGAGGACGAAAAATTTGCTCAGTCTAACGTACGTTCTATTTTTATCAACTTTTTTTGTATTAGCTTTTCTTTTTTTAAAAAAAAAAAAAGCATTTAAGAAGTTATTTAGAGTGTTGCATGAATTTAACAAGGCATATTTTTTGCATGGTGACATGATTCAGATCATTTAATTTTTTTTGATTCTTTTTTGTGGAAGTTTTGTTTTTTTTTTTTTTTTATTTTATTGCTTTTTATTTTCTGTTCAGAAAATAGAAGAAACAAGTGTAAGTTTGAAAGAAAGCCGTCAGAATTCTTCGGTAACATTGCAAAGCCAGAATGAGGACGAGAAACGGGAGCTCACTGATCAGGGTAATGTGTTGGAGGAGAAGACGATACTGGAAATAGCTGCTAAATTTGAAGCGGAAGAGGAACTTCAGCCGGAGCACCCGGACAAAAACAATATATTATCTACATTTGGTGAAAAACTGGATCAGTCGAATGAAGAAGTATGCATCCGCTTTTAATATCTCCGAAAAGTGACTGCCTCTGCTTGTTTTTTTCTCCTTTTTGTTTTTCTTTTTTTTTTTTTTGCGTTGTATGAATACTCCAGGTGGCAGCATTTCAGGAAAAGTCTTTGTATTTTGGCGTTTTATGAGTTCATTTTGTCCTCTTTAGTTTTTAGTTTTTCAAGCATTAGATTTTTTTTTTGCTTCGAGAAGTATAAATCAAGCAGATACGAAATTTTACAAAGTATTTTTTATCAAGACGGCTGTTCAGTGGTTGTTATGTAGCAAATCCGCTATGCTTCTGCGGTTTGAACTACGCCGTGCATGAGTCCAGCGAAATGGCTGCCCTAATTAATGAAGACTTCCACTTCAGCTGACTTATCTTTTCGGAATTTTGAAAATTTGTAGCTTTTGTGCTCACTGCAAACGCTTTTTTATAAAACTACAAAAAGCACAAGGAATCTGTGTAAAGCAGCGCTTGAATTTGTGTAAAACACTAACCGATGTTAGTTTTTGGAGCAACGTCATGGGGACATTTGACCCTTTCAGCGATCTTTTTTTTTTCGTTGCTAACTGGTAGCTGGGAATGTATTTTCTCTGGTTTAATCGCCAAAGATTTAAAATTTTTTATTTAATGTATTGAAAGCACTCATTTTGTTTGCATGAATTTAAATTTGTCTTCACAACCAGGAAATGAAATGACAGCAAAAATAACATATACATATTTGTGCTTTTAATCGGTCGGAAAATACGTTTTGCTTCGCGAGATTTCTCCTCATTTTTAGCTCAGTTTAGGCAAACTTTCAAAACATAGTGATAGTAAATAATCGATTCTTTTTGCAGGCTGCTTCTCCAAATCCAGTGACAAAAGTTACAGCATCCGTGGCTCCTTTGAAACAGGCTTCTGAATCGCCTGTTTCATTTGAATCCGAAAAGTTTGGAAAAGACGACCGAATGAATAAACAAGGTGTGTGCCGTATTTCAAACTGCATGTTTCATAGAACAATTAATTTTCTTCAAAATTCAATCCCTTCCCCCTTATTCGCTCTCTGTGAGTAGCGGAAACACTTGGCGAGGTAGTCCGAGGGTAGTAAGTGCCAGCAGCAGTCATGAGCGGGCGAGGCTGTCGATGGTATTCTTAAAGAGTTGCTTACAAGTAAACCTATAATTTCCTGGCATATGCCATTACCAATTTACGATCGAAGCAGGTAAGCGACTCGTAGAAGAGGGATTGGATATCCCAACGGCGGGGTGGAACCCTCGATCTGCTACCGACAACAGTTCTGCTTTCCACTGCGCTGTGCCCGCTGGCTACAGGAGAAGTATTTTTTGAATATACACTCTGCAGCGACTTTTTCTCATAGCTTTGCTTGCGTTGGATTCAGAATTTTACTTTTGTCTACTCGCTGTTTGAAACTGATTTTGCGGGCTGGCCTGTTGATTGTATCAAACGTTTAGATGGAAAATAGACTGCGCAAAAGAAGTCTTCCTCAATGTCCTTTGCCATTTTGTGCATGGGT